TACATGCAAAATTATATCATGTGTCCGCCAGAGCTTTAACAAATATGTAAACTGAGAAAGGGACTGCCTTTCCTGCAGCCTCTGGGTCCCAAATTGAGAAATATACACAGCAGGGGAAGTGAAATTAACTATTCTCATTTGCTATTCCCAACTTTGATGCATGCAGCTGAGACTGGCAGTCTCAGGGAGGGAAATCGAATCATAGCAGAACACGTCGGAAACTTTTCGCAAGTTACACACGCACCAGCAGTGGGCTACATTGGTCAAGTAATTTTAAGAAATACTATTTCTCATATTTTATTTTAATATCAAAGAGAAAATGAAAAATTCTGACAAGGACTGCAGGGCTGCAGTCCCTACCCCCAACCACCCGCTGGTGGCGTCAAATGAAAGACGAACGCTAACTCAACATCCGAAACTTCCGGGGGGGTCTAAAAAGTCCAAGGACGACGCAAGGAAGTGGTTGTGCGGATCAAAAAGAAGCGTGATTAATTTGAAGATAGAGATAGTAGTGGTAAAAACCATGGTTAGAATTTTAAGGAGCAAGCAAATAGTGATAGCTTAGGCAATGAAATTGGTATCATTCTCTCAACAAGACAATTAAAATTGTATTTTGATACAACAAATTTTAAATAGAATTCTCAGGAGGCCTCTTCAAACTTAGGAGATTGTCTTATATTCAGGCACTGTATTTCAAACAGCAATGTTTTGTAGGAAGCATGGCATACAAATTGTTTCCATATTTCAACAAATTGACAATTCCCCTATTTCTGCGTTGAGATACTACATTTACATGTGGAGAGACTTATGTCTGTGTCACACGCGCGTTTCGTTGACGCGCATCATAGATTAACATTGTGTCTTATGCGGAACGGTAGTTCGCAGTGTATAGTTAGTCTAAATAGACATTATAATGTAATAATGTTTCAACTATTATTTTTAGCCTTATTTATGATTAATTGTCTGTTTAAAGCTGATGATTATTTATATAATAATAGTGGCAGACTTAAACACACAATAACTGGTATTTACTAGGCTGTCCGGGTGACGCCGCGTCCATGGCGAAGGTGCCGACGTTTCGGTCGCCATTCTGCAACCTTCCTCAGGGCGTAATGCGAGGAAGGTTGCAGAATGGCGACCGAAACGTCGGCACCTTCGCCATGGACGCGGCGTCACCCGGACAGCCTAGTAAATACTGACTCCGGCCGCGGAAGCCCACGCTCTCACATACAATAACTGCTATCAGCATACAGCTTGTTATACTCACATAACTGCCATGATGATAACAATGTAATCATACAATTCACCATTACCTTGTAAGAATTTACATCTTCATAAAGATGATTTTTAGTTCAGAATAATTATTCACTGTAATAGTAAACAGACATTACATTATTTCAGAATTTCTATATCTGTCTCATCAAACAAAGTTTTACTTCCTTGTGTCATTCATTCATATTTTGTCACTCATTCAAAACAATGTACAATAGTAACCTCACAAAAACGTTTATTTGTATTATCATAGATATATTGATATCTGTTTTAAGGTTAAAAGTTTGATTGGGTATCTATCTCCATTGCATAAGTTGGGAATCAGATTCAGTCATATTGCAAGAATCGACTACGTGATTGTATTGATTAATCTTGCTTTTCTAGATTGTTTTGTAAATAATTATTTTCAACAACTCAAGATTTTTATTTGGAAATGTAGGCTAGGGCCCTATGGACTGGCAAAGTGAATATGGAATTATTTTCTTTTAATTATTGTTCAAATAAATTAGAGATTGTCTGGAAGCATGTAGAATCTTTAAAATGTATTTCAGCTTCACATTCAGCTCTGGTTCTTGGCAAATATTTGTTCCATGAAGATAACGACATTGTTAAGATTTCATAGATGTTAATATAAATCAAATTTCCCAGACCACGAAAAACGTTCTGCCAACGTACAACATTGAAAACAAATAAAGATTTAGATGCTACGCGTGGTAACATCGTGGTTGCTAGCACTGTGATATGACGCACTGCACTGCACCACCACCAAAGAGTATGGCCTGGGCGGCATTGTGACGTGTTGTCACAATTTTTACAACAATATTTACGCATCGCGTCGAAGACAAACTAGACAACTAGACAAACGATGCGTGCTCTGGGTCTGTGCATCGCCTGCCGCCAGGTTGAAAGTGGTTGTTGGAATGGGATGTTTTCTGTTGTTTGGGAATGCTGCGATTAATTGGTCGTTTTGATTAGGTTATAAACCTATAAAACGCAAGATTTATTGTTTACCGCGTACATCGTATATGTGGGTCACGACATAAGTGAAAAGGACTGTTCAGTAATGTTATTTTCCATCTAAAATTTGTTTTTGTACAGCGTGAAATTTAACTAGTGTAAACCAATGGCTCTGGACGAGAAGATTTCATATAGAGAGCTGCATGAACAGTTCGTGACCAATTTGAACGGAACTACCAACGTCGAGACATTTTTTGCTGTAACACCGAATTATTTTACAGTGCTGCTTGTTTGCCTGTTAGCAATAAGGACAGAAAAAGAACATTCAATTTCAAAATTTCAAGTTTTTTGCATTGAATTCATCACTCTTGTTGGTACAGCAATACTGTCATGTACCGTGTTTTCTAATAACTTACCTTCATTAGTTATTACACTATTTATAGTATGCAGCAGTACATACTTGTATAAAAAACAGCAGATAAGTTTGAGTAACAGTTACCAAAAATGTCCACAATTAACCACTCCAACACATCACAAATGTTACATTACCAATTTCCGTGCCCTTATCAACATGTTAGCATGTGTGAGCATTTTAGCTGTGGACTTTAAGATTTTCCCCCGCCGTTTTGCTAAGACGGAAACTTTTGGATACTCTCCAATGGATGCTGGAGTTGGGTTGTTTTGCATATCTAATTCGGTCATTGTGCCAAGTGCAATATTGCATAAAAGAATTGAAACCAATTCATGTTTTAAAGATGCCCTTATCAAAACTTTGAAAAGTTGCATTCCTTTAGTTCTCCTTGGTGGTGCTAGATTTTTCACCACTACACAAGTAGATTATCAGTTACATATTTCAGAATATGGTGTTCATTGGAACTTTTTTTTAACTCTAGCTGCATGTAAATTAATTTCATTCTTTATATCAAGAGACTTTGGTACAAAGTGCTCATTAGTTACATCTCTAATTGTAATCACTGTTCATGAGATAATATTATATAAAGGATTACAAAAGTGGGTTCTCAGTGACATTTCTAGAGACAGTTTTTTGACAGCCAATCGAGAAGGCATAGCATCTTCATTGGGATATGTTGCTTTGTTTATGGCAGGCATGGGTATTGGAAATTTGATGTACTGTGAGTCAAATACTATTGGAGATTTAATTGTATTAGTAAAGAAATTCACTTTATTTTCGGTCTTTCTGTGGACTACTTCATTTGCTTGTCAAGACTGTTTGATTGTTTCTCGTAGGTTAGCTAATTTTGGTTATTATATGTGGATTCTCACATTCAGTGTAACCACATTAACAGTGTTCATGATAATAGACTTATTTCTTCAAACTCTAAAGTTGTCATCTGTGACAAAGACTGAAAAGAGAGTTACAAAGGACTCCGAAGGTCATGTACCTATTCTTTTCAATGCCATTAACTACAATGGACTTGCATTCTTCTTAATTGCAAATGTTTTCACAGGATTGATCAATTTGTCAATTCAAACTCTTTGGGTAAATGACATGTGTAGTGTTATCATAATATTTTTGTATGCTTTTGTTATCAGTGCAATTACTTTTCTGTTGTATTGTAAGAATATTCAGTTAAAGGCATGGTGATTAATATTATTGCAATTAAAAACTTGTAAGTAAAATGTATTGAGTAAAACATGTTACATGAAATATCAAAGGAACACAATCTGGAGAAGTGAAGTACTCAGGGCATCACACATGTCACAAATTAGAACAGTAAGATATTTGAAACATAAAGATTTTTTTAAACTTTGTATTTATGAGACATTATCAACTGATTTTTTGATATTCTTGGAATACTTTTATTGCAGATATAAAAAATTATATAAGTAACTGATAAAATATATATCCAATTATATTGATGAAAGAATTAGGGCAATCCCTGAAATTATATTTTGCTAATAGGAAGTCATCTGGCTCAAGCTCTTCTTATATATCATCTATTGTTTGAGAAGCACAGACTAGTTATTAAATTACGCAATAGGTTTTGGTAAGAAACTCATTACTTGTTGTAGACTTGTTCAGCATAGGTATCATGGAACATTAAGTCTATGTCATTCATAGTACATGTCTTTTACGTCACAGTACCTATTCATTCTATACAAGACCATCCTCTGAGATTTGGGATTTTGAAGTAATGGAATAAAGTAATTGATAAGTTTTTTCAATTTGGAACTTTTAGGATCAGGTTTATGGTACATTTTCTTATTTGAAGGACAAGTATCTGATGAAAAATATATTAACAAAATATTAGGCTCTTTATTGCTTGAACTGAAGTAATGACAGCAATTAGAGACTGAGATCTTTATTGTATGTGAATTTAATTAACGAGTTCTCAATTAATATTGTCAACTGTAAAGCTGAACAAAATCTGAATTTGTTAGAATATAGTTCATTATTTTGAAGTGTTCAAATACTTTTGTATGGAATTAAAAAAAAGAAATTATATTTAGCCTTGTAGCTAAAATACTAGTAATTGTGTGCCCAAATAATAATATGAATTACATAAGTTATAATTAAAATATGTATTTCAATAATTATTAATTATATTGATAATTTTACGGGAATAATTTGTGACCAAAGTTTTCTCCTGCTTCCGCAAATTACATTAAGGCAAGTTATTTGAAGGAATATAGATTAGAAGCTTAAGATACAAACATTCCTGTTTTGAAGAAATGAATTGACTAGCGAGAAAAAATGTATCACAATATAATGACAAATTGAATGAAACATGAACATTTTTAAATATATTGAAGTAGTCATGAGTTAAAAAATAGATTATAATGGATGTCAAGCAATCCAGTGTGATCATTTATTCTTGAATACAGAAATACTCAACTGCAAACATTTTAGAGATGACAAGAACCTCTTTCAGTGAACCCTCTTTCCAGAATAGGAAATGGTGGGGCAATGCGTTTATTTATTTTTTATGTACTAATTTTTATTAATAGTAATCACAGCAACTACTGAATTCAGTATCCTGCTTGAACTCATGAACAATGTGCATTACTATTCAAAAACTCACACCTTAAGTTTTTTTTTGTTTTTTTTTTAGTTTAGTTGAATATTAACCATTAAGCATTGCTACTTCATTATTCTTTTTTGGGGGGGGGGAGCATATATTTCTTTTTGATGTAACTACTTTTCTGGGATTTCGAAGTGCAATATATGTGAATATTGTCATTACATATGTATTTGCTTTTTAAAAATAAAAGTTTTTATATCAATATTGAATATTAAAAGACTTCTATCAGTTAAAAGTTTTTGACACCCATTGCAGTTAAGCACTCAGTAAGTAAATCATTGTTTGCTGTTAAAAAAGTAAGCATGATTTAATGTTGTTTTTTGATTTTTTAAATTGAGGAATAGCATTAAAAAATATATTAACTTAACAAAATGAAAAATTTGTAGCATTCAGCATAGCGCTGAGAGATTTCCAGATGAATTGTGTCTGAAACGAAACATACCTTTTGTTCTCAATGTTATATTATTTAAAGGTCTTTTTAAGTGTGTATTATGTAGTCTAGTTTATTTTATTGAGCACCTTGAGTGTTTTTATAAATTATTTGTAATGAAAATGAGCCAATTGTATAGATTTTTGTGACATTTTAAACAAGTGGAACAGAGCAGTGGTTCCCAAACTTTTTTGGTTGTGCTGATATCATGTTTTATTAAAAATATTTTGAGACACACTAATTAAATATACCACTGAAAATACACACCAACACACAAATATTTAATGACATGAGGCCTTGTCTTTAGAGCCTTGCTATAAGCAGTGGCATACTGAAAATGATGATTCTGTAAGTACATGCAGTATGATAATAGGCTGAATAACACATTTTGATATTTGTGTTTTTAGCCAAAATTGAAACTTGTTTCATTGTTTTTGTGTTTTCTCCAAGTTCCTGGGAATCTAATAATAATAATAATAATAATAATAATAATAATATTTATTCAGTCACATATACAATTACAATTGTGTATGACGAGTCAGTATGATGCCTATCGTGTTCTCTCGCATAGCCAGAGGCTGCCTAGTTTTATCTGAATTTGTATGTGTTTGTGAAATTAGTAATAAAGAATTTATATATTAATAAAAAGTACTGTAAGAACAGTGAAAATGAATTGTTTGTAAAGCAAAACTTAATGTCATTCCTTTGCTAATAAATGTAAGAGAACTCAAAAAAGAGCAGTCAAGATTGAAAATTTAAAAAAGAATTTTATGGGATTTCTAATATTCTTTGCCCCCAGGAGAGAATCAGTATCTGGATCAAAACTTGACAGTTCCAGCTTCAAGTCCCTCTGTTGCTTTCTATGCTCTTTCTCTCTCTTTCTCTCTCTTTCTCTCTCTTTTTTTTTTTTTTTTTTTTTTTGACCTAGCAGAAAAAGTGCTTTCTCTGAGTGTGGTCAAGAAACTCATCAAATGTCTCGGTGCATCTTTAGCCATAGCTCTCTTTCTTAGAAAGTTATTGACACTGCTTGAATTTGCTTCTAAGTATTATTATATTTGTGGAGATGAATTTGAGGGTTGAAATTCATATCCTTGAATGAAGTTACACTAGTTACAAAATGTTATGGTAATGAATTTTAATGTTTCCCTTCCCATCAGTGTGAATCAATTTATTACAATGTAATGTAGTAATACACTACTCTCTGTCATAAATGATGATTTAAACATGCAGAATGATTACTGTTGTATTGGCTAGGTTAAAAATGTTTAGACTTTGAGAGGTATGAGACACAAAAGTTTGTCAAAATTACATTTTTATTTTTCTAGGTTTTACAGACTAATATCATCATTTATCATTAACAGTTGAGATTTGGATCGTTGTGACCTGTTCATTTCAAGTCAGTATTTCATTAATCATTAAGGTGTTCCAATCTTGTAATCTTAGTTTAGGTATTTCACATTCTCTCCATCTCTATATGTCAGTATCTTTTTTACTTACCTGTTTGTGTGTTTTGCCTTTTTCTTTGTTACTCTTGATTCTGATGTGAACTTCCTCTATAGCATCTAAAGTAAGAAATTTTGGAGATTCAGTCCATTCGTTTTAAGTGAAGCCTAGTTTTTGCATTACACAATCATGCATTTATAAGTATTGAATTTTTAATTTGTTTGTGATTTATTTCAAAATTCTCAATGTATTAGTTGTGTTTGAAGAAATAAAAATGATCTATGCTGCAAAAGCTATTGCCCTATTGCAAATTGTCATGAGATATTCCTTCATTTCTTTTTCTATATAGAGTTTCATTATTCTTATGTTTTGTGGCCACATGGAGGTGAAATGCCCTGATGAATAGTAGGTTATGTAGCAAGAGAAAGAGAGGAAATGAAATGAATGAGAATTGAGAGATGTGAGAAATCTGAGAAAAGTTGCCACAAACTCACAGTATGAATTTTGTTTAGACTGGTGGAGAAAGAAATGTACTGCATATGGAATACTAGCAATAAAACCAGTCCACCAGCATTGCCTCAGGTCTTCTGATCAATTGTTTTAAATAAACATTAATAAAACAAAAGTTCAATTTTACTCTTTTTATAAGAAAATTAAGATTTATCCTATTTGTTCCATTATTACAGTGAGAAAATAATTCTTGTTTATTGTGGGAGCCGTACCATGCACTGTTTAAAAGGAAACTAGGAATGTAAAGGAAAGTGAAATAAAAACTTATGATTAAAAAGATGACAGTGTATGTAGTATGTTTAAAAAAGAAGTTACATTGTTTTAAATTGTTAAGGTGAAGCATCTTAAAAGATGCATTACCTAGAAAAGAAAACACCGTAAAAAATTAAACACAAAAATGAATATGATTTTATCTAAGTTTTCTGAAAGCTTGCCAAATGTAAAATTAAGAATTATATTTATTCTGTTCTTAATTATGTAGATGATGTCTCAAAATATTGTCAAAATCAATCTATTTTGAGTAGGTCTGTATTACTTCTTTCCATTTCTTGTAAAGAATTTCTTCTGGCATATTCCAAACTTTGTCTAGTAAATTCCAACCATTCGCTGCTGTTGTTAAAACATACTTATTACTTGGATCTTGGGCAAAAGAATATGCTCCAAGAACCAAGCTTTGGCACAGTCGAGCACATACACATTTCTGAAAAACAAAGACATTTTTGACAACCTGTTGTTAGAACAATTTGTAATTTTTTCATTCTTGAGTCATAAAAATGAAGAAATTCCACCTTGAGAAGTTGAAATTCTATCTCTGGAAGCTTTCGTCTTGTAATATATCCAGCAAGAATATGACCAGGAGCTTCCAGTGGATCCAAAAGTTTACACTGAAGCATCATATAACAAATCATAATTGCAAGTTCAAACACATAGCATGAAATGTGGCAGTCACCCCAGTCAATGATTCCATATACACACCAGTCATCGCTGGTGGGTGACTTCTGTACCAGAATGTTTTGTTCATTGCAATCTCCATGTAAGAGTCCTTAATGCATAGCAAATGTTAAAAATGTAATGATAAAAAATAAAATTAGAAAGCACTATTTTATGAAAACTTTTTACATTACCTCTCTCTAAAGTCGGGATAATAGGGACAATGTCCTTTTCGAATACTTCAATAACATCAGATGCCAGTGAATGTTTCTGTATATCTTGCACTGCAAAAGTAAATTTCTTAACTTTTGGGACAGATTCAAGCATCCAAATGCCATTTTGATTATGAAGACCTGGATGTTGGAAGTCCTTGCAGAACGTAATTACATTTTTTAGAAATATTGATTTTAGATCAATTTTTATTTCATGATCACACTTGTCCAAACTGGTTAACTTCTTAATAGTTCTTACCTTCAGTAATATGTTTATCTTTGCAACATAACTTCCTAACTCATATAATAGAGAAGATGTACATGGAACATTGTGTAGAATCTCCCCTGGCTGAAAAGTTAATAATCTCACAATGTATTTCTTGTGTCCACTTTCTGAACCTGATAGAGAAAGAGCAGACGTTCAATTATAAATCATCATCGTCACATTGTATAAAAAAGGTGTATTGGCTGGTTAAATTTGATTGTTCACTATGATTGAAAGGTCAATGGCATACCTTCTTTATTTGTAGTGTTAATTTTCTCTAGGGAATAATAATTTCCATAAATATTTTGTACAGGTTGTGTGCATGTAATACCTTTTGAACCTAGAAGTAAAGTTAACAAATAAATATATTTTTATAGTGTTTTGTCTTTTGTGTGCAGATAAAACAAGTTTGTATTTACCTAAATAAGTCATTATTTCATTCTGGGCCTCTATTCTTTCAGGATTTTTTGAGTCGAGAGAATTAAGAACTTTCAAGACATAACCATGCTCCCAAAAGTTTGAGGGCTTGACTTCTCCTGGAACCTAAAAAGGAAGAATAATTTCTTAGCCACATTGCTCTTTCCACATTCTCTCAGTAGTTCCTTAGAAAAACTTTCAAATAATTTTTAAAGAACATCACTTTTATTTTTATTTATTTATTTTTTTTTTTTTTTTTTTTTAAATGGTGTAAGTAGTGAAATGCCAGTGGATATCAGCTGCTTTTATTGCACTTTTTACTTTCTCGCCCTTAAGAAGATGGTTCTTAAGAGAAAGTTGTGTAACACTGCCGGAAAAAGCGACGAATTTTCGGCAGGAAAACGTATACTGCCAGACCCTGGTAACGAAAAAGTGGATAAATCCAGTTACTAGTTGTTGTTTTTTTTGGGGGGGGGGGGTGGAATTCCCTAACACGTGGAGTAGCCAGAACACATGTTTTGTGGGTGCTTGATACCGAAAAAATACAATGACGGCAAAACATCTGTCCGTCTGTGACCAACACTAGCGGTTAAACTGTTGAGCCGATTTTCTCCAAAATTGATATTCTCCGATCGATGTGGCTGATGTCGCGGACCCTTGAATTTGAAACCGATATTTTTAATTTTGGGGTCCTTTACATGAAGTCCATGGGAAATTTTCAATAAGATTGCTCCATTGCTTTTTAATAAATTTTGTTGTTGGATAGTGTGGAGGACGTTTAAGATAATGGTGTAAGTCTCATATTCGTAGAAACCCGGATTTTTCAAAAGTTGCAAAAGTTAAATTTTTTTTCGGAGTCTGCCTACAAGTAAAATATTAAAGATAGGGCTTTTCCCTTAATTAAACGAGTTCCTTAAAGATAGATCTTGAAATAAGGTCATGTACATTTCCCCAAAATTTGAGTACATTTTGCGTGAAAATACGGGCGAGAAAGTACGTGCTGTTTAAGCACCACTAGATTGCTTTTGTTCATTAGAAATAAAATTTAAGATATTACTAACAGTATTTGTTTTTATTTTATGTTAAAAATGACCAAAAATGGAATCTACTTGAGACATGATTGAATTTTTTACATTAACAGGATGTCAGACAGGTGAAAAAAACTGTCTCACTCTCACATTTCTAAATCTATTTAAGAAGGTTCCAAAATGTCATGAATTCAAATATTCTCTACATATTAGGTCATTAAACTTGTAAATGGTTCAAAGGTTAATTAATATTCTTAAATTATACTTTATGTTAACATTATATTCTTACATAACAATGTTATACAGTAAATGTTTTCTAAAGTAAAGGAAATATTTTAAAATGAGTTTAATTGAGTACATTTCACAAACAATTGCTAAAATGATCCTTAACATGATTCACTACAGTAGAAGGGCTTGGAGCAGTATTAAGATAAGCCATAGCAGCTATTTTTACTTTCTCGCTACCGCTTTCGCCGAAGAAAGTAATGTAATGCTGCGCAAAAACTGCGAATTTTGGGCAGAAAAAAAACTTAATGCAAAGCCCTGATAACAAAAAAAAAGGATAAATTCAGTTGCAAAATTTACATTTTATACATTTTGAAAAATAATTGTCTAACAGATAGTGTAACCGTTCAGCCTTTTTCCTCAAAAATTGATGTTCCACGATGGATCTGTCTGATGTCGCGACCCCTTGAATTTGAAACCTATATTTTAATTTAAGGGAGGAGGGTACTTTACATAAAGCCCCTGGGGCATTTTAAAAAAATGGGTCCATTATTTTCATTAAATTTTGTTGTTGGTTAGTGTAAAGAGCGTTTAAGAGAATAGTGCAGATATCATTTTCTTAAAAACTCTGAATTTTTGAAAATAGAAAAATTCATTTTTTTCGGCGTCTTCCTACTTCTTCAATTTTGAAGATAGAGATTTTTCCCCTTTATGAAATCTGTTCTTTAAAGATACATTTTGAAATAAGAGCATGTACAATTTTTCTAAAATTTGAGTTCTTTTCGCGTAATTTTGTGTTAAAGTAGGGTGAGAAAGTACGTGCTGTTCTAACATCACTAGTTATACTCGTATGGTGGTATCTCAATTTGAATGATGAAATGAGAATTAGAAAGGTTATTTAATTTCCTCTTATTTGTGACCTAAAAATGAGCTGAAAACATCTTATTAATATGGTTCTGCAGTAATATAATATGAATCAGTACTTTCTTTATCTTAAACACATTCAGGGAATATACTATCAATGGATACTTTTGATTTATTTTTGTCAAAAGACAGTAAAAAACAATGTGGCATATGAAATTTCTGATGGATCTTTCGGCAAATTTCTGGTGGTAAATTTTACGAAGGGAATCTATTAAGAAAGGTTGACTAATGAATTGAGATCTGAAGCCCAAGAAGTTTGAGAAAACTACGAAAATGTTTTCAACTTTGCCTACTACTGACGCTTTTACTCCAAATAAAACGTGTGTACTAGAGTTTGAGTCTTCTTTTCCTTCTTCCCCTCTTCTTTCTCCTCCTCCTTCTCCTTCTCCTTCTTAATATTCCGGGGTTGCAAACTTAAAGACACTCACAAGACAGAGCTTACATGCAGAGGGCCTCTCGTTGTTTGAAAAACTTATTATTACTCAAGTTGCTGTGCCATCACAATACTGGTGCCAACGATTGTGCCGGTTACCCTATTACTAATTTCCTAGGCGCGCAAAAAATTGAAAGAAAACTAAGTACTCTTCGCCATGTGAGATGTATCGATGGTTTCGGTAGATGCCCCGACTCTCGAAAGAAAAAAGTTTCGATTTTGACTGAAAAACACGAGAATATTAATTTGTGTTATTTCATCTATTATCTTACTGCACTTACAGACTGTATTATCACACTCAAAAAGTCAGTGTTTACAACATAACTGATGTCATGCAACAGCACGGCTGCAAGGAAGAGACCGCCCCCATTTTTTAATACACGGGAGCGAACGTTCCTCGTCACCAGATGTTGTCTACAACTCTCTTTGCTATTATTTATTCTTAATGCTACTAATGTTGGGAAAAGAGTGGGGGTAGGTATTCCCGGGCTCAAGAAAACGTGCGATATAATATTCACGTGTTGGGTCATGAAACAGCAATTTTTTTATGTTGTTGGTGTGTAAAGAACTGTAATACTGTGTTCATATAGTATACTACTATTCTATGTTATTATAGAATACGTGAATAATGTTTGCGGACAAATTCGATTTATTCCAGTATTAAACGAGAGTATTTTATATATAATGTTTTTGAGCAGTGGGCGCGTTCCTTTTTGGACAGCCATTATGTGAGGTTTTGTTGAGTAGCCTTTTTGCTGATGCAGGTCACTAATAAGTGCTATTTTCTATCTTATAAACGTAAAACTAGACTAAAAACACTATTTTTTTGAAAGAGAAATATTTCATTATGTTTTCTAGGTTAAAGTAGCGTACACAAGGACCATTTACATATTCGGCATTTTCTGTAGCAAAAGAAACAAGGTATTATCGTGCATGTTTCAAACACATTTCAACTTTCTAGCATGAACGTACCAGATTAGAAGTTTCACAACATTCAGGATTTGTTATTATTTTTAACACTCTGGAAATTCGAATTACCCTAATTTAGCTTTCAGTATTTCGAATTAATATTCTAATTTATTAAATACAAAAGTTCCAAATTATCAATGGATAGTCTGACAAAAGTTTCATTTTTAGAGCCCTTCAAAATTCGGTGGGCCAGGACAGCGGTGGATCAAGACGGGGCAGAGGGGAGCCATGCCACCCCAAAAAATGTGTTACAGTTGTAGTCAATTTATTCAATACGCATATTTTATTCGTAACACATACTAAAGAGTATTCCCATGTTCCATGAATTTCTAAATTTAATGCTTAACAATTTGTTAAGCACTTGTTTTAAAAAAATCTTTGTGTAGGAGAGGGCAAATTGAAAAGGCTTCCCCCTCACTGTTCCCCCAAAGTCTTTCTGGATCCTCCCCTGCCCCCCTTGACTCGCGTACCGAGTCAGAGGCCAACCGGCTCGGAACCCTCCCGGCGCCGCGCGTACCTGCAGGTGGAAATTCTTGTCGTCGTACGCGTTGAGCTGGCGCACGCGTAGGTCCCGCGGCAGGCCATAGAGGGCGCTGGCGAGCCGGGCTGCCTCGGCGAGGCCCAGGGGCGGGCGAATGTCTTCGCCGGGCTGTAGGCCGTCGCCGTCGCCAGCGCCTCCTGAGCCGCTCATATCCCCTCTGCCGCCGCCGCCCGTTCAGGAGGCCTTGACCCCTCCCCCTCCCCTTCCCGCGAAGGCTGGATGCGCGCAGCCGCGGCCCTCGCCCTGCGGTCGCCCCGCCGCGCGGCCTCCGGGCAGCACGTGCACGCGCCGCACGTTGGCTTGGGAGCACACGTGGCGCCGAGATGGAGGCGGCTCCTCGCCGCAGGGGGCTGGAACAATCTGAAAGGAAAACATCGAATTGCCATTTGTTAAAACGTATGCCATATTGCAAAGGTGAAAAAAAGTGGAAATTCAAGGTACAAATAATTCGAATTTTAGGGATTTGATCACGTAAAAGTCCATAGTATTTTAAATTTAATTGTTTCCATAGTTTCCATGTTCCTATTTATTAACTCAAAGCAGTCGCCTGTGTTCGAATGTTTGGAGATGCGGCGAAAGGAAAATAATATGGAATAACGCGGCCAGATACGTTTTCATGTTCAAAATAAATTTCCAGAGAACTGTGTTAACGTTTTTCAACTGTCGGTTTGATCCAAGAATACTTTTCACACACGTGTTGTTGGTAACCGATTTTTCTGCATTATTCGCCAGTAAACTAGTACCTCTGTCTGTGAAGTTCACGAATGTCGAAGAAGAATGATATTGAACCACATCGCCTGAAAATACAAATTAATTCAGTTATTGAAAACAGGTTTCAAATTGACTTAAACTCTGCAGATGACGATTGCACAAAGAATTGTTTCGTGATACGTAGCATTTCTAGAACAAATACAATTAAAATATAATTCAATTTGTATAACAATAAAAAATGAATAATTGCCAAAGTTTGAAAATGTATACGTAATTTGATTATCTGAATCTTAAGTCGACTTTTTAAAATTTCAATAGCACATGATTTACGAAAGAAGCAAACTACAATAGTTTTATTTTCTTTAAATTAGGATATTCCAAAATGAACTCAACGCTAAACTACCATAATGCTGATTGTTAAAAATGTACCTTTAGGTGCTTAATACAAATCTTGAATGTTCACAGACTGCTGGGAGAAATAAATACGGATGTTGAAGTATTCCACGAGCACTGTTAATGACTGTAGGCTTCCCCTGTTCGAAGAAGACTAACTAGAGTACAAAAGAGAAACGGAGTGTGGTAGAACGAAGAGGTATTTGGGGATGCCGGGACCCTCGACGACAAAGCAAATTCCTCTTGCCTAAAGGATAGAATCAAATGAAGTTAAGCCCCCCTATCTATTGTAAGCGAAACCGGTTAGTATGTGTGGAAGAGACTTCTCGCAGTTTTGAACAAGTGCATTAAGAGGAAGCATTAGAAGAAAGCACAAAGCATTAGAAGGATGAAACTTTATCAAACAACTTGTAAATCATACAATAAAGTGCGTTTATGAGGAAGACACGCACGTTGAATCGTCAGATCCTCCAAAAGCATGTTTTCCGAACTAATTCCCGAAGCTTAAGTCCTCGTAACAGCTGCCGGGTGAAGTTCGTGCCATACATTTGAACCATTCCAAGAGCAGTTTTATCAGTTGCTACCCTGTTGTTGCTACCCCGATATTGTGAATGGGAAATTTAATTTAGTTCAGCAATGAATTTCTTGAACGTTGTGCCAACGTCCCTGATTGCAACATTTGCTAAGAAGAAACGAACTTCCAGATTGTCCAACTAAAATCATTATATAAACATGTACTAAACTTTTATAAATGTAATATTACAATTCTTCTCATTATCTAGAAATTGCGGCTAAGTTTTATTGAGACTAGATTTGTTTAAGAAACTCGTCAACTGACAAAACATGGAAAATGGAGAAAGCTAATTTGTGCAGCGAGTTCAATCCGTCATTGTCGCCTGATTGGAACGCATTTTTTGAATTAAACATTATATATTCTATATAATATGCACAAATATATAATCTTCGGACTATGAGATGAGACAATTTCAGATATGTATAAAAATAAGCGAAAAGTAGGAAAATTTGTTTTAATCCCTATTAAAATATTATTTCTGATTATCGTCTTAAAGAAAATATTGCGTTAATTTTGAGATATTTACGTTGACAATTTTGTGGAATATATGTCAAAAATATCTGAATTGAAATTCACTTCATATATCAAATAATAATAGCTGTACCCCTATGAACATATTGTACTTTGTAAATTATTTTTTTAAATGTGAAAGTAGCTTGATATTTTCGAACAGCCAGTCCGTGAACTAAGCGTTACAGCACTTTTGCTCTGGTGCTGTGCGTGAGTAAATCATTCTAATATGACTAATTCCGATTCGACATTTTAATATTACTAGGATTGAAGAGAATAAATTGGAGAAAAAAATAGTCATCTTAATTTTTTCGTAAAAGACGTCTCCATTCCTTCAATTTAATTGTACATAGAGTTTGCGTTTCTGCTCGCTTGTGACCACTCTGACCATCAGAAAAGGGCTTACTGATCGTCCCTGATGCCAAAATAGTGAATTGATTGATTGTTTATTTCATGTTTCCCGGAACCTCAACAGTTTTGGTAGTTTCTTACGTAAGTGTAGTACGTGTTTTTTGTGGGAGGTGGCGGATACCTTCCCTAGATGGATTGTGAGATCCAGTTAAACATCGTCTTCAATTTTCTCCATCCAGGTATCTCCCACCAGCGGGGAACCACCTCAACTGAGAGTAGCTCCTAGCTTCTGATTGGTCTCCCGACATGTGTGGCAGTGTAGTGCATCTAAGTGAATGTGTAAGTAAAGGGTGAGAACATGACGTGTAAGAGGACGGAAAGATCGCGCGCGGTCCGTGGTACGTTTGTTAGGGTGTCTCCGGCATTCGTGTGGTGTTGATCGGTCAAACTACGAAAAACTACCGATCAGAGTAACCGGTCGTATCTCCTCCGTATAGTGAACGCGACATAGCTATCTAGTTAGGGTCGAAACTCCTGCCCCCTTCGGAAATAGAATCCTAGGATCTCTTTATCAGAAGCATTGCAGTGACATCAATTAATGCCCTGATCTAGATTTTTCATATTTGTAGAAAATCACGTCTTCTAACACGTCTAATCAGAATCGATGTGTTGTGGGTCCTTGATACCGAGAAAATGGTTTACAGCAGAACTTCTGTCTGTCCGTCCGTCCAACTACACTAGCTGTTAAACGTAGGCAGGGATTTCACCAAAATTCATATTCACCGATTGATCTGGCTGGTGTTGAATTTGAAATGTATATTATGGTTTTTGACGGTACTTTACTTGACGCCCTAACATTTTCAAAATGTTCTCAAAAACGGCTCTAATTTTTTCACTATTTTTATCTCAGACAGGGAAATGTACACGTATAAAACGGTGCAGGTCCGATTTTTGTTGAATTCTTTGTATTTTTGAAAATTTAAAAAGTTTTAATTTTTTCGGCGTACTTATACCACAAAAATATTGAAGCTAACAATCTTTCTTCTCATTGAAATTATTTCTTAAAAATTAGAATTGTACGAAAGGTCACATATATTTTTTTCAAGATACGCGCATTTTTTGCGAAGATTTGCGTGAAAAAAGACAATTTTAAAAACAAGATTTTCTCAAAAACTTCTTCAATTTTTTTCTTTTCCTTTTTTTATGTATAGAGCTAAATGCAGCGAATAACACACAATAAACGTCATTTGAATGTAATCTTTTATTTTTTCAAAAATTAGACAAGGGTATGTTCAAGTACATCAAGTACTTAAACGTTACAAAAACGCGAGAAAATACGTGCTGTTGTAGCACTAGAGTTCTTCCTGTTAAATCTGTGTGATGCTGAACTAGGAGGTGGGTAATTTCCTGTCCAGCTGCAGCACACTGGAGTGGCATTGGCGCACTGGGGTTTTGTGTTGATTATTCCTCGTAAGCAGTACAAAATGTCTTACTTTCTTGTCGGATTATATATAGATGGAATAATATTATATCTAACACTTTGTTTTAATTTAGCATGTACTCCAAACACAAAACATCGTCACTACAGTGTCTGTGACTGGAAGGTTTGAGTTCCGACGATGGCGGGCACTAGCCAGATAGCTAGGCCGTCTCTAATTAGATAGTTAACCTACTCCCCATGATATACTCGTATACACTATACTTACGGGACTAATAACGCCAACGCCCACCCTTGGCATGATAGCCACTTGGTGATGCGCTTACTTGGACAGACGAGCGTTTTCCCTTCGCTAGGGTGAATTCGCACCTTCATAATGGTCAAGCGCGTAGGTGGCGAATCACTGTTGCTCAACAGTGATTGTTGCCTTAGCGTGAACAACTTTGTCCCCGCTGTGTATTATTATTATTATTATTATTATTATTATTATTATTATTATTATTATTATTAATGAATGATGATGATAGGTGATCGTGGCCTTTTTGAACCATCCCAGCTTTTGCCTTATGGCTGAGGGAAACCACGAAAAACCCTGGTCAAGATAGCCGGCCCGGAGAACGAACACAGACCTCCCGACTACCAAGTCAGCTACACACCGAGTCACTTCGCTCGGTAAAATCGGTAAACACGAAATAATCAATAAACAAAAAAATAATCTAAAAACGACTTTTTTATAATCTTACCCAATTTTTCGCATTTTCATTCATTGTTAGTTTATCCAATAAGTGTAAAAGTCAATGAAACGGTGTGTGAAAATCGTAATGGTAAAATCTTGAATTTTGTAACGATAATGCAGGTAGGTCCCTCAAGAGGGAAGATCGATATCATGCAAGGCTGTCTTCTCGGAACGTACTTTGCTTTAGTAATTGAAGAAGATGAGCTAATCTATATTTTATTATATCGAAGTGCGGCAAGCCCGGAAAATAGTACACTTGAGATGGGGGCTCCGTAAGCTCATTGACATTCTTATACAAGATGTTGGATTTATCCAGTTATCTTGTGCTAAGATAATCGTCAAAGCGTATTCATTTAATAATAACTTCTTGAGGATTAACATATACTCAGTATATTTGTTTGCCAATGTTATTTATTTCAATAATTTTCTATTATTTCGTATCGTGTTCCTTCATTTCAATTAATGTTCCATGACAGATTTTTTCAAAATACGCCATACCTTTACAAGTTCCTCCAGTTTATTCCGAAATTTTGATTTGTATTAAAAAGTCGTATCATGCATTCTCTCTAATATATTTCTTAATGCTTTCGCATCCTACATAACTGGACCAGTTCCGAGAAATAATTGAAGTGCTTATCTACAAAAGAGTTAATCGCATTTGTTTTTTCAAATCATCACATTTTACTTCATAATAATTCTATGACATCCTGAATCACCCTATCGCGCGATCTGTAACTCTTTTGTTCCTAAGCGTTTCGAAAGGGAGCGAAATAGTGTGACGCTACGCTTGCCCTATAAAGGAGTTAAATAGCGCGTGGCTCATCTCACGAGAAGCTGCTCCAGTAGGCTTCTGTTACACGTGTTTAGGACGGGTATAGTTATAACCATGGAGTGCAGTTACGATTATTTAAATTATTTTCACATGGAATCAGTTTTTTTATGAAAAATCATGTAAGAGGCTTTGGAAGTGAAAAGGTTAATGAAATGAGAATAAGTGACTCCTAAAAGGCAGCATAAGTGCTTTCTCGCTTAAATAACCGCATTCCTCCATCCTCAAACCTGAGGGCATGCAAGAGCTGCAGGGTCGCTAAAAGTGAAAGGGAGATAAAGGTATTTGACACAGTTCCCAGATTGTCACAAGAAGGGGTGCTCGCAGACATGGGTAGCGAGATAAAATAAACGTGTTTCCCGGGGCCGCGCTGCTCCTGGCTGGTGGCTGCAGCTTCAGAGCAGCTAGTACACTTCCCTTCGCTTTCTGGGAAGATGGGAAATTAGAGTACTGCTACAATATGTATTTGCTAATTTATTGTTAATGCACATGTATTTATTATTTATGAACAATTCTCAATTAAATAACTTTAAAAAAATTAAGCTCTTTCGCATCGTATAGGTTTTTGTATGTCTATGTGCCTCACTCATTTTCGGAAGATTTTACAACCTTCTGAATCTATTACATGTTTTGGGATGAACTATTCTGGGAACCCCAACTTTGAAATATGTATGGATGGTCAGAAACGAATAGAAACTCGAAATCTACGTAAAATTAAACTGCTATGACAATAGTCGACATTTTTACAGGGTTGATAATGCTGTAACTGCAGTTAAAGACTCGCGTGGGCTCAAATACTGGGGTCCAGAATGAAGCTATTTTAACTTTAC